TATTTATGGCTAATTTGTACAAATCTGATGATTTACTGATCATTAGATGGTCAAAGTTTCTTTAATCTACAGGATATCCACTAAGCATTAGCATGACACCCACCATTGCTCATAGCCGTAGTCAGTGAAATGATAGTTTTACCGGTCTTAGGATCCTCAGTGGCTGAGATGTAGCCGTTCTCGCTGTGGATCTCCACCAGCTCGCTCTCAGGCGCGCTGATGTCCCACGCGAATGCCCTGAAAGTCGGTAAAAAACCGAAATACCACTATCTCTATTCCTTTTCCTTTCTATTCCGTTTTTTGAAAGTCTTAAGCCCATGTCTTCTTCTACCGTAGTAAATCAAGGCGATACTTCTTTCGTAATTTACTAATCTCATCTTAATGCGTTCACTAAGAGGTGACGGTCCTCTGTCATGCAAGAAATCTCGAGCCGGCTCTTCCACAGGCTACTCGAGAGTACTCCATAGTACGTGTTAAACTTGAGCCATAAGCAATAATATACTTGACTTAACATGCAGAAGCATTCTAGCGACGAACAACACTTTTGTGAGGAATTCCCTACTAGCTTAAGTACATATTATATTCTAATCTTGATGACATATGTGTGCATTAAAGTATTTACGTATATACGGATTGCAGCCTGCGCCTTGGCTTATTTAAGATCCTGCTAAAAGATGCTATACAAAGGAGGCAATTCTAGTAAGCTACGAATTGTTACTGTTTCTCTCATACCAAAAAGGTGGATTGTCGCTCGAATTACTCGATAGTTAACTAGAGCGCAAAGGCGTAAACGGGTAAAGCAATCGAAGTTGACTAAGCCTTTAAGGATGCGCTATGCATTTAACTCCATTCGTAGCATCGCAGAGGTGATTGAACGCAGATTATTTCGAGGCAATACCCTTTGAGGGCCTATGAATTGGCCCATCAAGCAAATATTTTTATGCTGCCAGATAAATCTGGAACAATTCGATGTTTTTCTTCAATAAGCAGACACGAGGTTGTTATTATAAGATTTATTAGGATACAATAGCTGATGTTTCGGCGGTTTCGCCTTCTTCAGAGCCTGGAAAGATCAAATTGAGATGCGATCTACCCAGCCAAACACTTTCATAACCCTAGCAGATAAAACTTGACAAATAAATTTGTATTCGCATAAGAAACAGCTTCATTTAAACATCTACCGTTTATTTATTGTAAGTATTTAAGCTGGTTGATGGATAGCAGCCGCACAGAGTAATACATGGGCGATAACTGTGTCTGCGTCAGACCATTGGATTAGCCTGAGCTATAGCGCCAGGTCGCGCGTGATGACAAGACACTCCTCCTTGCGGTTTATTTTTGAATTTTTGGAATTGATCCAAAACGCTTCAAGAGTTTTACGCTGATGTTTTCGATTCGTGGGTGAGGATAGTGACTCCTACTTCAAAATCTTCTCCGTTGTGTTCCTGCATCCTATGCGCGCCTAGTGGAGTGTTTGGTTTTAATTTAGATTTACCGACTAGGTGTTCTTTTATGCGGACGCAGAGCGGTCTACCCGTTTCGCCAACATATTCGTCCCCTCACGCTTTACAAGACATCAGATAGACTGTGCCCGAACTTATGCAATCACCGTCTCTACCGTTAGGGCAAATTACTCTGCGTCCGCATAAAAGAACACCTAGTCGGTAAATCTAAATTAAAACCAAACACTCCACTAGGCGCGCATAGGATGCAGGAACACAAAGGAGAAGATTTTGAAGTAGGAGTCGCTGTTCTAACGTTGAAACGTTTTGGATTACTTCCAAAAATTCAAAAATGAAGCGTAAGGAAGAGTGTCTTGTTATCACGCTTGACCTGGCGCTATACCTCAGGCTAATCCAATGGTCTTACACAGACAGTTATCGCCCATGTATTACACTGTGCGGCTGTTATCCATCAACTAATTTAAATACTTACAACAAATAAACAGTAGGTGTTTGAATGAAACTGTTTCTTATGCGAATGCAAATCGATTTGTCAAGTTTTATCTGCTAGGGTTATGAAAGTGTTTGGCTGAGTAGATCACATCTCAATTTGACCTTTTCAGGCTCTGAAGAAGGAGAAACCGCCGAAACGTTAGCTGTTGTATCCTAATAAATCCTATAATAACAACCTCGTGTCTGCTTATTGAAGAAAAACATCGAATTATCAATCAATGCCGAGGTTAACAGAAAGTCGGTCGTGGGAATCTGGAAACAATTCGCTAACTTTAGAGGAATGCGAAAGAGTGTTAAGCCCAGAGTGTGAGATCAAATCAACGGAAGTGGATGTAACGCAGGACACCGATAGCCACTACTACTAACAAGAAAATAGGCTCAAACAGTACAGTAACAATAAAAGAGAAAATAAGTGTAACAGCTGTGTAAGCTGGGATGACGCACAGCTTCAGGATTATTTCTAATACGAGGATACTACATGTAGAACTCATAATGCATAGATGTTGTTTTACAATGTGGCTACTCACGTATAGTTCAACGACGGTGTGCTGTTCCTTGCAATGTCACTTATGGAGATGTCGATTTGCTCTCCGTAGGTGAATTTTGGTATAGTAGGAAAGTACGCCTTGCCACCGAACTCTGACCTCCACCTATAGAAGCTCAAACCATCTATGGTATAGGTACAAAAGTAATGGCTTTCATTTCTGACAATAACATTCAACGACCAAATAGTGCACAGATCAGTAATGGATCCGCTAACAACCACAACGATGCTGAGATATTTGCAAAAATCCAGATCGCGGTGGGTAACAAACGCTTAACGAACGCGCCATTACCCTTTCCAAGGGCTCATGTACCACCACACCATGTGGGTACTTCGTTTCGCCTCTCAGCTAGTTCCATAGATCAGCTAACAGCCGAGTGATGCTTAAACTGATTAAGAACTTACCCATGTGTCAGCTGGAAAGTTCGAGAGGGTCTGCTTTCTTAGAACATGATACAAATCCAAATGAACGCAGTGAGGACGATTTGAAATGTAGGAAATAAACCGAAACTCCGCAATGAGAAAAATGCAAAAGCACAGTGGGAAATAAGAATCATGAATTTAGACATAGATTGGGCAATCTTTGCAACCACAATGAAGATTTTCTACGGTACCAATGTTCGTTCATGTTGTTTCTTACGTGTTCTCGTGAAAACAGCTACATTTGGTCCATCAAAAAATGTGACAGAGTTAAGCAGGCCATAAGGGTACTACTATTGACTATAGTAGACCCTGACTCGACAGCTAAATGTAGAAAACGGGGAAATCTGCATGGATGTTGTTTTTTTCAAATCAACAACCGTTTATTCTAGCCTGAAGTATTCTTCAGCCATAACCTTCCTAACCACTACGGTCCTTGAAACAAGTCTTTCACTTGCAAAACATACGGGTGACAATTCATGACCCACACAGCTGAGAATATGGCAGATTAACTGATACGTGCTGCAAACACACTAGGGCATTTTACATGTGGTTGTCGCCTAAGACTTCTACATTCATTTGCGATTCACTCTAATGCTCCTCTTGTCCATATAGCATTAGGTCATCCCTTTTTATGTATCCTCCCATTCATCTCGTGGATGAGTATTTGTCGACGCTCTTAACAGCGGCGTCCCTTTCAATGTTATGCTGCCAATTGTACTCCAGATGATGTAAGTAAAACACTATGTTCCACAGGTGATGCAAAACCCCTAAGCATAGCGGTGGTTTCAGTTCTTGGCTCAGAGATATAGCAGAGCGTTGACGGACTCGCAAGTCGAACGAGTTAGTGGAAGATTTTTCTTTAATTATACAATCAACTCGTCCATCTCAATTTGTTTTCCATTGTTGTATGGCTTTTCAAAAAATATCCTTCGGTTCATCTTGGTCTTAGTCGTTACTTGGTTAAATATTTTGCGAATAATATCTGCTCCACTGATTCTATTCACGAAAATATCGCAATATCGTCGACAAAGCAGGGGTTCATTGGAAATTCATTTTGCACCAATAGAAATACCATTTCAGTCCCCATGAGAGGCTTCACTGCCCACTTTAATGTTTCGGACACTGTACTCATCAATTTTGTTGCACTCGATTTCCAGCGAGGAGAATATAAGGAGCGAACGATGGCCTCAAATTGCAAAGGCCGGTATCTGGTGACATTTCTCTGGTATTCTAGATGAAAAGTAGGTGGTGGTCTGCATCGTCGTCGTGCATCGCATGCTCCGTCGTAGTTTTAGAGTTGATCGGCTATCACTGGTCACTCCAATCATCGCTTGACGTTGCATGCAATTGCCTAATGCGGGCGGTACTAAGCTGTAGGATCCTGTCAAGAAATTCCTCCTGCATAGTTCAATATTGAGAAACACTTGTGTTCATGATAAAGGGATGAGCAAAAAACACTATTTTGTTACATCAGGCCTTTGAAAAAATTCAAGAGAACTCCTTATTGCTTCCACCACATTAGAACGCTGTTTCGCTGTTATTTACCTTGTCCTAGATCAGTTTTTGCGCGCTTTCTTTCTTCGACTTCTTGCAATACTTGGGCCCTATTTTTTTCGATTACGCGATTTCAAAAAACAATGCAAATAGGAAATGCATACGTCTGTCTTCGAGTGAATTACTCTGTTCATTATAGTGTTGATGGACTAACCTTCCGACCATCCACGCCACAGATTTCAGTTCGGCCGGAAGGCGACGTATGTCGTATCCTGAAAGGAGTTCGACGCAATTGTTGGGTAACAACACACAAAAAGTTAAATTACTCGTTGTAGAAAAGTTTTCGTCACCGTTTTATCCACTAACGCAGAACGACTTTTATTTGGATGGTAGGTGATCCTTTGGCAAGCACACATCCATGCTCAAAAATGGCGTGGTATTTTTTATCTTGAAGCTTAGCCAAAGGCAAACCCACTCAAAGGGTCAAGGAAATCCGGAAAGAAACATATTCATAAGATGGAAAACATCACTTCGACCAAGGACGGCCAGAAACTGCTTGTGACGACCAACTGGTAGCCTCTATGTCGTCCGCTGCTTTCAATCCAAAGAACGAATCCCTCTCAACATTATCTGCGAACAAGGCGCTGGTTTGAGCCTGCCCCAGGTTCACTACGCCTCGCATCGGTCCGAGATCGGACAATTGGTAGCAAACTTGTCTGGAAGCAGCTGGCCTTCCTTGATCAACAAAAGCCGGTGTCTGTCTGTAAAGAGAACGACCTTGAAGCTCCTTAGTGAACCCGTTCCAACATTACAAGATCCACACTGTGTGGACATTCACCTATGTTCATGAAGAAGACCAAAAAATACATAAGTAGTAACCAAACCCACATTTGAATACAGGGATCTTCGTGAATAATGAATGCAAAGAATCGACTCGAGTGCAAAAATTGCTGGGATCCCCACGAAATGTGATGTCGGGTCGTGTGAAAAAATACTTGTGAAATCGAAATTTGCCCTGTTCTCATAGGATCACCTGTGAGCACGGGCCGCTGAACTGTTCACATTTAGGAAATAAATTGTTCTTATTGTTCTTACGCTGCAAAGATGCTTTTCCCTATTAGTGTAATTCCCCCGTTGAGAATAAAAGACAAATCAAAAAGGCTCTTACTGTAATGGATGGGTTTTCCACAAATCTGGCACATTCGTGGACAATGGCGCGTCACCAATCCCGTCTCATCGCAGGTTGACCGATTTGATACAATCTGAGTATGACCATGTATGAATTTACAACTTTTTTGAATTTTTAGTACATGAATTTTATAAGTATGAAGCATGAAATGCGTCGTTCAGTCGCCAATGCTTCAGTGAGGCCAACGGCTTGAAAAAAAGAGAAAGACAGAGCAACATAGACAGTGTACACTGCAGTGTAGAAAAGCTTAGTGCAAGTAAGGAAGGTGCTTAGGGTCACTCTGCGCCACAAAACTCAGTGAAATTGTTCTATGAACTAATAGAAGACGATTTAACGTAACGTTTCAAATAATTTAATGAGGTGACCTATAAAATCCTGACGAAAATTTGGGATCAAAAAAGGCTGATGTGCAGATTAAGAAAAATAGTCGGAGCTCTCCTCCCCTTTTGCAAAGCTCCTTTAGCTATCCGATTAGTAATGAGTGGAAGGAAATTTGATAAGCCGATATGAAAACTCATCATTCGACAAAGTGTTCAGTTTAAAGTAGAAGTAATGAAGACTCACCCACTCTGCACAATTCATGTCAGTATCACGACATTTGTCCAACTTCAGTGCGGTTATGGACGATATGAGCGACAAGAAAGTAATGTGCAATAGAAAGCTCATCTGCAATCAGGAAATACCGTAACGATATCACAAGAGGATTGATGAGAAATTTCCGGAGACACAACAGAATTAGTATTTCAATGGGATAGACGACGTGCTCACGTAATGACTTCATGAAGAAAGGCAAATAAGCAGAAAATTAGCAATACAGTAAAAAAAAATAGAAAGATTCTTTGTTGAAAGTTGAGCGAAAAGGAGGGTCTGACACATTTTACAGTCATTTCCTCTTTGGATAAGGGAAAATATGAAGAGGACTGTAGACACCAAGCAGTAGGTCCGAACACAAGTGGATAAACACGTTGGTCCGTTCAACTTCTGTATCTACCCATTACGCTCAAGTAAATTCGGAACAGCAAAGAATTTCCATAATTAGGCTGATGGTCACTTTCTCCTTGCATTCTTTCTTCCACCCACCATCTAGGCTTGTGTGCACAACGGTTAGAGGTACGCTGTAATAAACATGCACGTTGCTTCCATCCAGGTGAATCAAGTCCTTCATCATTTTGGAGTCTCTAAGTTGACACCAGAAATGGTTCGGAAGATTTAAAAAACCGTCCCGCCACCACAACTGACTGTGTAGATCAGGTATACATCCGCTCATCTTTCATGAAAGCACTGATCAACGCCAAATACTTGATCCTTTGTCTTTTTCATTAACCACCACTTAGAGGTGCGTCACGTGTCCGCGGAGTTAACCGGCTCGTGACATTAGGAGAATCTGTGGAGTGGAGCAAAGGAAACTTATAGTTCGTTAACAAGAGTAGAGAATAAGACCCTCGACGTTGATCAATTCCTGAGGGATGCGCTATGCTTTCGACTTCATCAGGGATCGTCAGACGTGATTGGATGCAAATCTCGGCCATAGAATGGTTTACGATGGTCTAACCGACCACTGAGCTGCGTCAAAGATCGGCTTGGTCATATTGATCAACAAAGTGTCGTTCACAATCTAAAAAGTGCTGGTCATCCCATTTCTACATGGAAAAACACATAAATCGAAAAGTTGAATAAACAAAATATCACAACGAAGCGCCAGATCGAAGAAATGAGAAGAAAAAACGAAAGCAGAGGCTAAAACATTGTGATTTCGAATACATCTATAGCTTAACCGGGTCCAATACGGATTTGTGCTCCTCAGTTCATTCCTGTTGTTGAGCAATCGCAGACAGCACTCATAGAAAATAAACATGGCTAACAGAAAGGCAAAGTTAGGCACTCGGTTTGATGGGGCACGTGAGACCTCGCTAAGGATAACCGCCAGTTCGAAGCACAACTGAAGTTCCGGGTTTCGAACATATACCATCATCATTGTAGTTGTCAATAGAGAATCTGCCTCGTTGACGAGGAATAGGTTAGCGAGATTTCGAGTGTTTAGGATATTTGCTTCACGTGAAAAGTGCAAGATTGCTTAGTTAGGGTTAGAGCTAGCAGTGTGGCACTTTTGGTCCTCTTGTATAAGCATTTTGTTTAAATTCAATAGTATGACGAAAAGCAAGCATTGATCGACATTTAACAAAAAGATCTTTTTGCACCTTAAAACGGTATTATCTACAGAAGAACAACATGTGATTCGTCATGCAAATTTGGCCAGAAATCTGTACTGCCGGATCTCACGCATAAGCAGGAAAATTTTTGGTTTTGAGGCAAAGTAGGGCGCGTGTAGCTCAATGGTTAGAAGTGCTCTAAAATACAGACTGTGAATTCAGTACGATCCCGCCGTCTGGAGAAACCAATCTTATCGGCAAACTGTTACCAGGTTTCGAAAACCGACTTCCGTTTAGCCTCGGCATGAGTGATAGTGCGCATACTTTCATTGATAAGCTAACATGAGGTTGATAAAGGACTTCATTCGACTAAAATTTCGTCTTCCGCAGTACCGATGAACAGAGTCGATGTCCAGAGACCTTTGCACTCTCGAAGCGGTGTCTCCGTCGTCGCACCGAGTCGGGTCTTCTTCAGTGGTGCACCGATCGAATCTTGCTTATTCCCTGAAGAAGGCGAAGTCGTTCGTCGAAGCGTCAGCCACCGAATCAAGGTAACAACAGCTGCTATTACCAACCTCTCGTCTGCTCAACAAGGGACTTGACGCACCATTTTTCTTTGGCATTTTACTGCGATGTAGTGAACTAGAATGCGGAAGCAACAAAATAGAAAACATTGAAGATGTAGATGTTCCAGTCTTTTGAGTCTCTGCTCATATTGCCTTCATTTTAAGAACGTTTACACGCTATTCAAACGAAGCTGACAAGAAAACGATCAATCACTTCTCGAAGATGAACGAGGCAGACAAGAATTTCCGCCAGTAGTTGCAAAAATAAGTAGGATAAAAATACGCCTGTTTAACAAGTTATGAGAGCAGAAAGATAACTGAAGAAGACAAGTGGTGTGTGCAGAGATCAACGAAATAATTAAGTACGTGAATAAGACGGGGATGAAAATTTAGCAAAAATAGTAAAGTTTTGTGCTATTAGTGGCAATATGTCGAGGTTAACAGGATGAGAGATGCTGGCTAGTCAGAGACACTCTTCAGACGGGCAGGCGTTCTTCACGCCCAAAAACCCGTCATCCTGATCGAAAGCCTGGACTGTCAAGTTACGTCACTACTTCTCGGGTAGTCCGACCGGCCAGTGTTCAGTGGGTTTTGGTGACAATTCAACTATGCGCATCTAAGAACTTATGGCCATGTAACCGAATACAGCGGTACGGTAAGAAACCTACCTCTTGGATTTCCCAGTTTTTCGACGTTTCATGAATCACACTTCCAGGGGAATCAGCTAGAGCTTTGTCTCTAGAAGGAAAAATGTCACGGCATGGACTTAGTTTTCTTATTGAATAAGTGCACTCCATAGCCGAATTTCTCCAACATGCACTTCTACACCTTTCGCCGATACTGTGCTGACCCCATTTCAATCTAATTTCGTCTCAGTCGTATTTTCTTTTTTCACCATTTTTTGTTATTTAGATTGCTTAATTCCACTGTGAACACTGTATATGTCATTGTTCTTTGAAGCCACGTACGCCACCAATAATTTTCCGGATGTATGAAAACGACTATCGGCATCACTAAGAGTGAAGAACGATGCTGCCATGAAACTCCTCCAACTTTATTGTCTACTCGAGAACTAGTTCGTTTCTGTCAAGGTCATCAAAGTATTCACATGTCTTCGTGAACGAAAAAGTCGGATAAAAGTATAAAGCTCTCGGCGTTTATCGATTTCTGAGGGATGCGCCATGCATTCAACTTCATTAAACATCGTTTGGAGGTGATTGAATGTATATCTGGCCTTTACAATACCCCACGGTGGCTTACCGATGTAACGCGCCAGTGCTGCTATTCTCCCAGACAAGTCTGGTACCGTTTTGCCGACCCCGGAGAGATAGACGGCTTGGTGGGCCATAGGCGCTGGAATCGATTCTAGGTGTGTATGGTAGAGCGCCTCCGACCATTGCGCCGCACACACCCTTCGGATCTGATCGGATAATGAGAAAATCGGTTAGTCTGAGATAATTGCAAACCGCTAAGGAAGACGAAATTACCGATCGAATAAAAATGATTCAAAAACGATGCTTATAGCTGATGTAGACATTATCGTAAGAGTAAAATAGTGAGCGAGCAACTTCCTGAGCGAATTCTGATTATTAACATGGTCCAGAACTCTATTGCAGCTTCTGAATTGTTCAGATAAGCTCTTCTGAGTTAACCTCAAGCCTTGATGACTTCGCCGCCGAAACGGTCATTTTTCTGCATGCTTCTTCTAAACTAGTTTTAAGTGTGCATATAGCTTCTTTAAATCTGATCCTAAGCATGGACTTTTGACGAAATTGAAACTTCCTCGCTTCTGTTTCAATTGTCTCTCAGCAGGTTTTTATTACTGTGAATATTTTCTGATTCATAATTTACGAATGAAATGGTGATCTAGTTCAGCAGGTTTTCGTTTGTTGTATAGCAGATCTTATGTCTGTTCGTAACGAAACTCTTTATGAGAGAACACTTGGACGAACCGATTGCATATGGGTTGGATGCAGCCACAACTCGTTCGGTTACATTTTCATCCGCTACTCACAAACCCGTCATTCGTGAACGTAGTCAGCATCGAATATGATTTTCCTTGAAGGGACATTGGCTTCGCCTATAAATGAATCCAGCGATCAACAACAAACACAGCCATTCTTGATGGAGACCATGTCTGAGGTCGATACACACCTTTAGACTGCACAAATATACTCATTCCTGCTTCCTTCTAGAGTCACTATGGACCATTTTACTATATTGCACTCTGAGCTAACCTAGCGACTTAATTAAAGAGTTGTTGGTGAGAAATTGGAGAAACTGAATCGGTCCAATAACCGATCCGTGACTTCTTCCAACGGTTTGAAAGAAGTAGCCAACGTTATCCCATTTCTCTTCCTTAGGCCTGTCAAATCTTCATTTTTGAGTCCGATGTTCAGTAGTATTTTACCGTCGTATTCTTTGTGTTTGAACTAAATGTTGTCTTTTCACTGACGATGTAAGGGCAGCACTCCAAACAATTTCCTTAATGCACTTCAGAATTCATTGATGCTCGGTTAAACGGTCTAAACATAAACTAAAAACTAAACTTGCGTTAGATACATTTGATGTCAAATGTTCAACAGCACTTTTGGACTACATTTTTTGCCGAGCACATCCAATCGAGCAAGATATTTCCGTACTGTTCCATGCGGGTTGGTTTCTTCAAGCAAATTCATCCATGGCATGTGCATTCATGGGTGGGGTGATATGCCACTGCAGTAAAGCCAGCATTCGTCACTTCTATTTCTATTCTATTCTCTAGATCTATTCTATAGATTCTAAACCTGACTAGTTTGAATTATCCGTCAATTCTTTGGGCATATTAAGACTTTCAGTGATCACATCTGCAGGATAAGATTTTCCTTCTTAGGTTGTTTTTTAAATTATACGTATCTGGGTCCACAAAGAATACAGAAATTTCCATTCTATTTGCCTTAACCAAACCGACTGAGCGGTCTGCGCTTTTGAAGCCTAAGAAAGCTATGCCGAGCCGTTCTAAATCACCACATCGAACTGTCATCGACCTTCCTGGATCAGGATTTGTGCCCTTGTGACTAGGTTCTTTCTAGAATTGCGGACACTCCTCTGATTAATCTCACTGTCTGATAGATTTCCGGATGAAAACCTTGAACTCGTCCTCAGCGTCAGTGACCCTGTTGAAGACGAACATACACCGCACTTCACATTCAAGTAGGCAGCAAATAAAAAGTTAGCATTATCATGGGGTAGTTCTGCGATAGAGACCTCATAGATCATAGTGACAAAGTTCCGTATCCACACTGTAGATGCGTTCGCTCTCCTACACACTCATCCATTAGCAGACGTGAGAGTGAAGCGACATCCCGTCTGCGCTGCTGGCCGCTAAGCTGATCCAGCTATGCTACGTGATATGTCCTTACAATCGATTAGATCGATTAGTGTTCCTTTTCCTATATTCCACTACTGGTAAAATACAATAGAACTGTTTAAAAAACCCGTGGGACGATGATATTTAAATTCTACGAGCTGTGTCAGAGGCATCAACATTGGACTAAAAAAATGCAGAATGATCTCAACCGTGGCCTTCTAATTGAGTTATATAGCTCTATCGAATACGAACATAGCGAAAAAAACTAAAGGTCCTAAATCAAGAGAACGAATATGGCATTCTAGTGGGCGGACAGCTCCCAACTCTTGCTCGCATAAGCTAGGTCTTCATACGTCTTCCATGACTAGCAGCTACTTCTGAATTTATCAAATACATCTACAATAGTTTCTAAGAATTTGGCTAGAAGAAACAACTTCAAAGCATGACTTTGAGAATCGACTTTCAATGGAAACCCTAGGAGTTCTCAGTCCATTTCTAGGGAAGAAATCGTAAAAACTTATTTCACTCTTGCATCTATTCGAGCTTTTCAGCTATGTTTTCGTCACTTTATCATGTCTTATTTGAGCTCATGGTTCACTTTATTAGCAGTACTGGACACGCTACTATAACAATTGCTTAGGAGTTCCTAAACAGAAAAGAAAATGTAAAAATTGATAAGATCACAGGCATTTGACATGATGCAATAAGAAAGAATCAAGGAAGTAATAACCCGATGCGGTCCTCGTCACAGACAAACCGAATTCTGTCCTGACGAGGTTTGCCCTGAAACATTTAAAGACATTCGGCTGCGAAAGCTTCGATATCAATTTGCTTCATATGTACAAAACAACTCTCGAGGCGAAATGATAAAGAAATACACGATATTCATCAATGAGAACCCGTAAACATCGAGAAAATCTTGACATCGGCAGAAATCTATGTTGTAAGTGAATCAAACCCTATAGCTTAAAAAGGTAGATAAAAATAACAATGCTTTCGAAAACTCCGTGATAAAGGTGAACTCCAGAATGAGTTGACGTTAGTCGTATCCAAACGGAAGGACAAACCGACTAACGGGACGATTAACCGGCAGCCGTCCAGTAAGTTCTACACCTTGACCTGCTGAAGACGACTACCGATATTACGAGCGTGGCTCACTAAACAATACTAAATAGTAACTGATCCATTTCAGTTCTTCAGAATCATCAAAGTACTCGCAATGAACACTTAAATGCTCATTTTTAGTAGTCATTTGGCAACATTAGATGTTCGTTACCAACCTCACAGTTTCTTTTCGAAGTCCTTGTTTCGTTTCACGTAAATTACGAAGCAGGAGTGCTTAGAACAAGAACTTCTTTTTAGTAGTTGAAAATCTTTCTATTACCGAAATACACATACATCAGTATCGCATAGCATTTGTTTCGTAACTGCCCTTTTTCTTCTGAGGCTTCTCCGGAAGGAACGGAAACGAAAATCATGAAGTCAACTCACTGATTTTCGGATCTACTTGGTACTGACAGTAATAATGAAGAATTTGCTGAGATTCTGGTGTCGACAACCACTTTGAGACCAAATCCACCCTAAACTGCTCAAAACCCAATGTCCACTTTAAAAACTGTTGCGGGAAAAAACTTGAAGTATTTGTAGTCAAACGACAAGATCTAGTCCTTGTCAGAAAAAAAGCATATCGGAAAAAAAGCATTATCGAAAGCTGACCTTTTCGGATCCGAACTGAGAACATCGAGAAACTCGAGGAAATCCCGATGGGCGCCAAAGTCGTTGGTGCGGAACGGTCGCAGTAACGGCAACGGATTGTGCTCTCTGAACTGGACACCATCAACGGCTATTAGAAAAGCCAAAAAGGAGAAAAAAACAGGCGAATCTCGGAAATAAAGAAACGGGAAAGAAGGTAGGAGAGAAAATTAAGATGTATAAAATGACCCTCGCCCCCAGTCTTTATGGAAGACAAGGTGTAAAATGCGAAGAGTTATCGAAATCTAAGAATGTCCACGTGTCCTAGTCCCACATGTATTCAGTCTTTCGATGCCAAGAAAAACCAGCTGAGAAAATTAACCAAATCCACTGTTAAAAATTGAAAATGTTTCACAGCTGTGTCCTATCGTACAGAAAAGTCTTTAAAATGTAACAATGAATATTTGGGAAAAAAGGTTAATATACAGGCATTAGAAAAGAAAACCTCAAAATCATCCAAAAGAAGGAAATGAACACGAAGAGGTGAACAACCCACCTGAAAATGGCAGTCATCTGCTCGAGAAGCTCTTCACTTTTCGACAAGATCGCTAACAACCGAAACACTCGGTCGATTTGCTTTCGATGGTGAACTTGTTCGGTGTCGGGGAAGTTGTTCTAAAGAAAGGTTATGGCTTTATAAATGAAAACACCTACCATCTTAATATAATTCGAAAAAGAAAAGTTAAATATTCAAAAAGTATCACATTTATAATCGACCATTCAACTAGATATAAAAGGAATCTCGAAAATAGTAGCCTTCAGAACGCACTTATTTTCGATAGGAAGAAAAATTGGAGAAGGGTCAGGCCGAAATCAAATGCAAAGGATTAGGAAAATAATTACAATAGATTGGTGCCGCTCGAACGACCGGTCCCAGAATGGCGAAAAATATTGGATGATAACGACATACATACAAGGCAATCCAAACGCCTCTCCTCTTATCATCGTGGGCGGTAAATTGGTAGCATACTTATCTAGAAGAATAAAAATACTACTCCGATAAGTCCACGAGTTCCCATAAGCTATTTCGTAGGCAAATCTGCGTTCTTTCATCTCTACGATGTCACGAATGAAGCCGAATGTTCGGCGCATTCCAAAGAGATGGAGCAACACCGGAAGCTTCGTCCTTTTTACACGCAGCTTACAAGAATCTAAAGAAATCAGAACCTCGAAATCCCCGACACAGTGCCACAACAAACCCAAAACAGAGCTAGTGTTCAATGTGGAACCACTAGATGTGCTCGAAGAAATCTGTTCACATAAGATCAGAGTCTAAAGCAGCACTAACCCTGTCAAATAACATTGGATCAAACCGCAAACCACGAGTATAATTTTGCAGGTTTCCGTTAGAACGAAATCTTTGGATTTCGGGCTATGCCTTAAACTGATGATGTATGCCATCGTCTACGTACAATATGATTAACTTCTGATTCAAAATAGTGGAACTCAATCCAGGATCTACGGATGGTGGTACTATTCTAGAACACAATTGGCAGATAAAAGGCGCGTGTGGCGCAGTGGTCAGAGGCGCTCAGCAATACACGTGGGATCGATCTTCGCACCCTGGCACACCAAGCCTTCCATCTCTCCGGGGTCAGCAAATTGGTACCAGACTTGCCTGGAAGGATAGCAGCACTGGGTCGATACATCAGTGGGTCATCGCGAGTCATGGTAAAGGCCAGATATATATTCAATCACCTCTAAACGATGATTAATGAAGTCGAATGCATGGAGCAGCCTGAGGGATAGATCAACGCCGAGAGTTTTATCCTTTTATCCTTTGTTTGGCAGATGAAACCAAAAACAAAGCATACGTGAAACAAAAAGAAAATCACAAATGCATATGAAAGCTGTACCACACATAAATAACCGCATAAATTTCAGAACTGTAAAGTCAGTTTTTTTAAGTTTTGGGCAAACAGTTGAAATTTTAGTTCCTATTAAACGGTGACTTTTCAGATTCACAATGCATTCATTTAGAAAACGCCTCTCGCTCACTTCATCATGTTATCAGTGTAACAATAAGACCAGTAAGTGAGAAAGATAGCTAATCGTTCAATGGCTTCATTACTGCTGTAACATTTCTTTGTTGTTTAGGACATGCCCCTAAAAAGGTGAAGACGATGTTCCACAAATACAAAACTCACAAACTGTACGAAGTTATTCCACAGAAGACGGAGAATGAACGTGATGAGATTCGACTGATTGTAATCGTCGACCGTATCCAGAAAGAACAACTTGTAATCGGGTATGCAAAGGTTCGTACTAAAATAAAAAATAATAGTAAGCTATTCAAATGAAATTTTGTGAGTAACAACTATGTGATTTTAAGCGAATGCAAACGTCGAAAAACCTTACGTTGAGTACCTTTTTAGAAAGGGTGTTGTAAAATGAGCTATGCTATTGCATAAACTATATAACAGGTAACTCTATCAAGCATACAGTAACTCGAGAGAACTCTAATAAACTCTACTCGTCGCCATTGCACAGTCTGCTCATTCGGTACATTCTTTTTAAGCCGCACGGAAAGCAACACATTTTTATAATGATGGTGTCACCTTTTTAACTGCTTTTGGCAACAAGATAGCCACCAGCTAAGCGCTGGACTCGGCCATTACACGGATACCTTCTTTATTGGGCGTTTTAAGAACCTCGATTAGCACTGAACACTTCCTCTGGAGGAATGGGACCCTGCTGCACATCGCACTTCAATACTCAGGAACTTCTCGTAGCCATGATAAGAGGTCTTACTATGTAGATGGGAGGACTTACTATGTAGGTCGCTAAATTTTAGGTGTTATCAGTGGAAAACAAAGATTGTATCACCAAAACTGACCAGTCTTGTAAAGATGAGACGCCACAATTATTGTTTCATTTAAGAAACGACTCCCTAATGGTAAGTGCCAGACACGACTTCGATAGGCAGTCCTAGTATATAGCCTAAGGGATGAATTCGTACCAGTGCCATTCTGCTTATGTGCGACGCTTTATTGTATTGCGACTCACTTACTTCATCGAAGAGTTGTACTTTATAGATAAATACGTAGCAAAAACATCAACATACTTGTAGAGGACCATAAGGACTCGATTCTGACACTCTACATTACCACTCGCAAGCACGTTCAACAATGTCTTGGCTGAGTCTGGCTTCAGAGCAATCTGCAACATTATCCGCCATTAAGTGATAAGCATTTTGTCTTGCCGAAAAAGCAATCCTGATAAAATTTATGAAGTGTCCAAGTTTCTCACCAACGCTTAGCCATAACACTTTGTATCCACTACACATTCCACATATAGCCATCTTAAAGCATTTAAAATATCCCGTTAATAAGAATATTTCGCTACCTGAATGCATGCATTCCGTCCACATTCGTCATGATTTCTGGTGAGATTCGTCAGACAGATCAAGACGTTGTCGGTGATGGAGGCGATCAGCTGACGGACGTTCGCTAACGGAATCGTCAAGTAGTTGTCGCGGTGGTTGAGCACGCTAAGCAGAGTGTCGGGGGCATGTGCAGCGACCATCGACACCTAGAAGGACAGCCAATCACCTCACTGATCTGATCATCTTCTTCACAAAATGGATCTTCAATTACGACTATCCTAATAGCGGCACATGCTCAAAAATCCTGTCATTATGTGGAGTGGATCATTTCCACCCATAATATTCCGTTCTCTTTACTAAAATCCATGTTCGGTCATGCGCTTCATTCGTTCTGGTAAGCAAATATGAAATCTCCTAGCACAAAACAGAAAACAACAAGTAGGAAATGGATTCGATTGTAGAAAAGGTTAAAGGCTTAAAACTAGCTAGAAAGTTTCGAGATCTTAACGAGGCAAAATCCTCCTAAGCAAGTGAGGTTTTTCAGACACACGAAAATACCTGTGAAACGACAAAAAACCTATATTCTATCACATATGTAATCATAGATTTTCATTTCATTTCAAATCATAGCGAGCTAACTATACTTTGTTCCGAATGCTGTTTGCTGACACATTCAGCAAGAATGCAGTGCCGTGATTCACGAGAATCGGATCGTGAGCGCCCATCAGTTGCAGTACCGACGCAATCGTGCTTCCAATGTCCTGAAAAGCAGTCAGCTTGGTCGGAACTATTTCATCGATATCGTTTTTCTCTTCAAGAATATGAAAAAAAAGAACTCAATTTGCAACAGCAAGCGGAATGTTCTACATTAAACAAAAAGCTAGAATTAAATTTCCAGATAGCAAACTTTTGTAAGGAGCGTGAACTGCAGCTTTGGGATTCAGGTTATGGAATGAGCTGAAGACTTTTAACAATTTTCTTTCATATCTTTAAAAACAGAGTGCAGATGTGATTCGTGAGCCATTAATTGGATACCAGCAATATCTGAAGTTTAAGCCTAATTTTCTTATCAAGTAATTCAATAGCTTTTAGACCCTTATAATATATACATATATTTTTAAAAGACAGGTTATAAGGTCATGGATATGCTCTTTAGAATTAAGCGAGTTTTCCTACCGACGATGTACTGCACGATTTATCTGCCGATGACACGGTGTCAACCAACTCACCTGAGTTTCCAGCGCTTCCTTAAGATCTCCGACAGCTGCCAAACAATGCAAAACCTCATGTAGAAGCATAGTCGAGCCATGTGCCAAAAGGTTTCCAAAAATCTGGAAAACAAAATTCTATAGGGGCTTTCCTTTAATCTCGGTATGACTAGTCGGCATGTAATTCCTTCATTGATAAGTTAACACGAGGTCGATAAAGAAGTTCATTCGGCTAGCGTTTCGACGCCTTCATCTTACTCAGGACCAATGGTCCTAGTCGATCTCCATAGTCTTTCGCACTCTCAGTGTGGTATCTTCGTCGTCGTATCGAGTCTGCTTCTTCAGTGGGGTATCACTCGAATGGGGCAACCTCATCAGACGATGCTCCTTTATACATAACGGTTGTTGTTGATACTACTATCTAGTGATAACTCAAGATTTTCTATAGATAGACATGTATGCTCTTACCAATTGTCCCTGTGGAATCATCCCACGTGAACAACACGTGGGTGGTAACCCTCGAAACAGCACGGCTCTGAGGAAGGCGAAAACGCCGAAACGTCGGCCATCAAACGATAACAACAAAACGATGACGACGTATACTAACCTCGCATCACCTCAACAACGGCAGTTCGTAAGATCATATATACGTATATCCGGCGATAACCGTATCATATCAACAACAACCGTACTGTATAACGGAGTGATCCAACTCGATTCGAAGATGAAGACACCACATCGAGAATGCGACGGACTGTGGACATCGACTCGGATCATCGGTCCTAGGGAAGACGAAGACGTCGAGACGATAGCCGAATAAAGTCCTCTATCATCTCCGTGTAAGCTTATCAATGAAAGAACACGTTTCTGTAGGATACTATCGAAGCGACAAGACAAATTTTATGTTCTTTTAAACACGTTAAATAATAAATACGCAATTCATTGGATTTTTGAAAACTGGGAAGGAACCGGAAGTCTTAAACGGAAAATTTGTTGAGCCTTCTTATTAATTTAAAAAACCGGTAACTATTAGATTGTAAGTAGAAGGTTATTCCTTTAAGTTGCTTCGAAGTGCATGAAAATATTTGCAGTAACTTCCTTAAGATAGTATTTTCGGAGCACGAAAAATATAAACAGAAAATACCTGCACTCCTTCTAATCGCACGAACTCGATACCGTACTTCGCTGATTCCGTAGAAATCAGAGTCAGAAGAGTGGTGGCGCTCGATCGTAACACTTTCTCTTCGTGCTCGCATGACATAAACTCGAGTAACTTTGCCATTCCTTTGCTACGCACAAAATACTCCTAAAAGGCCAAACATGTTCGGGAGGAAAAAACTACGTAAGAAGAACAAAACATAAAGTTAATGCATACGAACCTTTAAAGGCAAATTCCGTGTTATAAGCATTCGAATTGAGTCGATTATTAGAGATTTATGAGATGTTGAAGTTGAGGCGAGGATGACCATCAGTTGATGTACAAAATATTCATTTCTGAAGAACACTACCTCTATAAACAGTTGAACACGTCAGCGAGAAATAGTCGACTAGTCTATAGCGTAAAGGTTTTCAGGAATGATTAATCCTGAAGGATGCGTCACTCATTCGACTTCACTGATCATAGCAGAGGTGACTGAATGCAAATTTGGCCTACGCAATGAGTTGCCGAAGCCTACCGGTGTTTCGCACCAGTGTTTTTATCCTCCCAGATAGGTGGTACACAAATTTTAAGACTCCGAAGAGGTAGAGGTCTTGGTTTGCACAGGACCAGGATCGAACCAATCCCGTATGGTGCCCTTAAGTACTGTGCTACACGTACTACTCGACTAGTCTATAGTATTCACTTCGTACCCTACCTTAAACCAGTTCTAAAGAAGATCGCTACACTACCGTGACACCAAAAATCAGTCAGTTATTTGCCAAACCCCCGATATTTAAACAATGTCTATCTTCTCGCTTTCCTTATATAGAGCACAGATATTTGCAACCTTACTAAAACGAAATAAAACTATCTTTTAACTGAGAACTAAGAGATAATAAATGGTCTAGCCGAGAGACTCATTATTTTTGGCCACGTGCTATCACCAACGAACGAGTGGACTCCAAGTTCTCTGCCTGATTTTCAGGAAATGAACCCAACCAACAAAAGCGTTCTACATTGCGAGATTAGTACATGTTCTAGGTTTCATAAACAAGAAATAAATTATAAAAAATCATAATAACTTCATAAGCTTGGTTTCCTCGTCCTGATTTATTACTGCTTATTTATTTGTATGATCAGTGATCACACAGTGATCAGTGTATGACACATTGCGCGAATCCCAGAAGTTTTTCAGTTCGTTGTCTCACATCTGCCTTCCACGGGGGTCTTCCGATTTTTCCTTTCCCACGTGGATATCTTTGAACAGGTCAAGACAATTCTCCCTGGAATCTTGGAGGAACTCTACTACAGAATTCCCAGGTCTTCACCACAAAGGCAGTTGGTGGCCGTCGTAGATTGGAGGGAGCTCTTCTCAGAAGCGCCTGGTACCCAGTTGACCACCCGGGAAAAATGGGAAGCTTGGTTGGTCCAGGGTTGGGTCGAATCAATAGTCGTACATGTATTCCACAGCATCTCTAAGTAGTGCACTTCTCGCGGTCCTGTTGTAAATGGTCTTTTTCATCAAGGAAACAATTATTGTTAGGATACGGTAGCCATTCTAGATCCACAATATTTCGACACAACTCACCGACACATTCTTCGGAAAGCTCTCAAGTCTTTCTTTCGCAAAATAGCAGTGAACGCAATGACAGTCCATGCGGTGAATGGATGATCAGGCCTGAAACTTATTCACGGTGTTGGAAGACAGACGTTTGAATGTGTCTAAGAAGTATAGTTTCTTAGTACTTACAGCAAGTATTTGGCAATAATGTGGACGAGAATTTGTTGAATGTAACGGTCCTGCATCACTACGAAACACGTACGACAGTTGAGAATGTTGAAAATCGACTGCATTAACTGAGTGATGTTCTAAAATGTGCTCATTTCGCCCAATAATACTGATGTTAGTTTTAAAAAAAACGGCAACAAAAACAAAAATAGTAACATGATGATGCTGAGACATTCGCAAAACTCCGGTCCACAGGTGTCTGTGGTGGGGGTCGAACAAGTTATTACCCTTTCCGGGAGTTAACGCGTTCACCACCACACCATGCGGGTCCTTCGTTTCGTTTTTATCGCTAACTTAATGTCTTCGACCTTCATTTACTCACGTCAAATGAATATAACAAAGACCTGAAACTTCCTTCACCGAACATTCAAGGTAGAACAGCCGTTCAAAAAGTTTCTTTTTGCCAACACCACTCTGGCTCAGTACCATTTTCTGGACACTTCACGCACCTGCTCGATGGTGTGCTCGAGGACGAACTGCAGGAAGTGGCAAATCAGCTCCCGTAGAGTGGCGTGGTTGCTCACCATCGCTAGCAGCCGTTGTCGTGCCATGCTCTGTACCGAATTGGCAGCTTTTCGTCGGACCTCCTGCAAATGCCATTCGTCTACCTCCTTTAAAAAGTATTCTACGTAAGCAAGTGAAACAAAGTATGTTGGAAGGATGTGAAAGTTACTACACCGAAAAGATAATGTTCCTACGAACAACTTGTCGAAACTAGTGAAACTTACCGGATCGTCATGCCGCAAACTCATGATGAGTGTGTTCACTTGACGATTAATCTCGTAGATATTGCTCGGATCGATGTTCTCCACGCTTGATGCACCCGAAGTGGTTTGGTAAGGAGGTGCCTTAAACATATTCACAGCGCAATTCTTCGAATATAACGAGCTTTGTTAAAAACATGACTACATTTCGCTGGTCATATCAACTAAACTTCATACTTATCCATTTCGGAGGTATTTTAATTTTACGAAAAACAAGGATCCGTAGTAGCGCAGAGACGGTTCACTGCTTTGTCCATAAATTATTCGTCACCTAGTAGTCTGCCCACATAGTCAAACCTCGCAATATTCACGATGGTGAGTGCTTAGAGCAAAGATATGACGACTTTCTTTTTAAAAGTATTTCAGACGAAAAGTCTTACACCACATCATTCAAACCAACCCACACCTCTGTCGCACACAGGGTGATACTAAGAACAAAGTCATGTGACTAGCGTTAGAATGGACAGAAAATCACAATTTGCACCCCATATAAAAGGACAACAAATACGGAAAGACTGTCTCTGTCCACATGATAAGAAAGACCTGCTTCTCAAGACGTCGATTTTAGGGGTCTTTTCGAATTCGCCGAGCTATATGTCTTAGATACCTTGTGGCCGCTTTATAATAAACAGTCATGCTAGTAAGCGAAGATGAGAGAAATTTTTAACTTGCGGACGATAGAAGTTGTCATAGCTAGACAAAAAGTTTTCTATTTTCTTCACCACTAACAGTCAGAGTATATCACCGAGAAAAAGTTCACCCGAGAGAAACCGAAAGAAAAATGGCTTCCATTCTTAAACGTCCAAATTAACCTATCAGAAAATGGCTACATTATGAAGTGGTACCGAAAGCCAAGTAGTAAAAACATCCTGGTACATTACCTCTCTTCTCACCCCTCTCACACGAAAAGAGCGCTTGTAAGAAACCTGTTTCGAAGAGCAACCAACGTGTGCACGGGAAGAGAGCAGAGAGAGGAACTTTTCTCTCGGGTGAACTTTTTCTCGGTGATATACTCTGACTGTTTATTCAACAACTCGAAACACTTGTACATTTCCTCTTGTGTCGAACAAAGGATAAAACAGTCATCTATATATCTACAGTAGAGTAACGGCCCGAGATCATTCATCGGTACTTCCACCTTAGACATAAACGCAATGGCGAGACTTGGTGCCAGTCGTTGTCCCATTGCCAACCCTCTTATTTGAGCGTAGTACTTTCCGGACCATCTAAAGATTGAGCAGCTTAAGCATTCTTTTAAGAGTGCCATCAACTGCTCTATCTTGAAGCCATACATGTTTATTTCTCTCATAAAAACATAAGACTATCCGTAGGTGATAAGGACAGAAAGTTCCAATGGATACGAAACTGTAACTCGGGATAGGTGTAGGGAAAATCCGAGGCCCCCAAACGATAACTCTAGCGACAAAAAGGTCCCGTTCATCCTGCTCTTCATCTCAAATGATGTAAGTACAGCTATAAAACGATGTTTAAGAAGGGCGGATCTAGGGAATTCGGTAAACGTAGTTGAAATGCCACCGAGTAATCTTACGCGCCAGCTAGTTCGTAACCGACTATATGACCGTCTATGTGCAACGCAGAATTGCATAATTTGCCCCAATGGTAAAAACTGTGATTGCATCAGCTTGAGTATAGTTTATCTGATCTCCTGTAAGACGTGTGCTGACGAATACATTGGTGAAACGGGTAGAACCCTCTGTGTCCGCATGAAAGAACACCTAGCCGGCAGAAATAGACCAAATACCCTGCTAGGCACACATAGGACCCAAAGACATAACGGGGAGGACTTTGAAGTATGTGTCACGATCCTCGCACGCGAATCAAGAACACAGGCTCGAAAAACTCTCGAGGCGTTCTGGATTAATTCCAGAAATCCGAAAATGAACCGCAGGGAAGAATGCCTCATTATCACGCGTGATATAGGGCAGTATATAAACCTGTTATTTTGATGGGAGGGGCACATTAGGCTTCCATGTGAATTCTGCGTGGTTGGTCTTCACACGACATACTCAGTGGAAGACTCATAGAAAGCGGTGAGTGTGCAGAGCTGTGTTCAATGTGATTGAAATCTTGGTTTGGCGTTCTCTCTGTTTGGTTATGAAGGTGTTTGGCCGAATAGATTGCTGTCAACATGACCTTTCCAGGCTCTGAGGAAGGCGAAATCCGCCGAAACGTCAGCTTTTACGTGAGTGGGGAAGTGGAATAGCACCTCGTGTTTGCTGAAGAGAAGTGGAAAGAACTATCCATTGTGTGCAAAAAGTGAGACATCAACATATTCTGGATGCTGTCATCCGACCTGTTTACTAAGCAGCACCTGTTAATCACAGTTATACTCGCCTAAAATATGAGGACTTTAGAAGACTGCAAGCCATGTCCGTGACCATGTCCATATAACTTCTACACCGAATGATTATCATTCCAATCATTTGCGATTTTTAGTTCATCACATAACCCGATGAAGTCGTAAACGGAAGGAAGTCGTAAACTTTTTTGAGTACGCAGAACATTTCGACAATCAAATACAGGTTGGAATCAAACACTGCGCTGAGAAACTGTCGCGTGTATTGATAAGTAAAACGACAGTGATCTGAATCCATTAGAGAATGAACAGGGTAAAAACTTTATTATCAGCTTCGAAATTATCACGAATTACTTATTCATTTAAGTCAACGATTTCCCTTTCTTTGCGTTAAACTACTGAAATATGTGCAACATTTCTTCTAAGGAGTGGTCTCCGAAGGATACTCGATCAACTTACAACTTTCACTTGTGAAATATGTATAGTCTTTATGAACCAAAATTCCTTCATCCATATCACAGCATTTCTTCCGCTGCTTTTTTCTACGCGCACTAAGTTAAATGAGACATAGCTAAGCTTCGTAAATCTTAAACTGTATAGGTCCATCTTCATCCGGTGTTATTTTAGCACATATTTTAGTCGCCTTATTACCAACAAAGGGCGACCTGCAACACACGTGGAATTGATCCCCGCGCCTATGGCCCGCCAAGCCCTCCATCCCTCCAGGGGTGGGCGAATTCGTACCGGACTTCCCTAGGAGGATAGCAACACCGGCTCGATATATCGATAGGCCACCACGAGTCATTGCATGGGCCAGATATGCATTCAATCACCTCCAAACGATGCTTAATGAAGAAATCGAATGCATGGCACATCCCTCAAGGAATGATCAACGCCAAGAGCTGTATCCTTTCTTTTTTTATTACCAACAAAAAAATCATAGATCGAAAATGTTCCTTCATATTATTTCCGCAGGATACTAACATTTACAAATTTTTTCACTAAGTGCTCGCACACACCTGAGTATAATGAGGTTCGGTGAGCTGTGTGCAAATGCTCAGCTGACTCATTTTGCCGAGAGACATTTGCGACATGCTGGACATTACCGACATCCCACCACCACTAGCTGTTGATATCGCAGAGCATGCACCGGACTGCACCTGAAACGAAGATCTTCGAAGACCATAGGAGATTCCAACACGACTCATACTAATGTTTCTTAACTATATTAGCTACCACTCAGATATGGGTGTTTTCGAGTTGATTCGCTCCATTAGAACGGACATCATGAAACCGATTGTGAACGTTTGTAGCACGAAATGAGACGGTTTAACTAACCCCACTGACGTGATATCCCGAAACACCGGCCAAGTACTGGCTGTCCATCCACTGGGCGGTGTTTGCGTGTCGGGCAGCGCACGTCTCCCGCAGGCGAACAGCATCGGCGGCGTTTGCGGGACGGAATGGGGACGCATGTGTTGAGCTGAACACCGAACGCCTGAAACACAATCACTTGATGTTTACATGGTCAAGTGTTTTCCATAGATTTCAATACATGAGCTATTTCCATGGAAGTCGTCTTACCATATCATAACTCCGAACTTCCAAAGCAACTTCTTCAAGCACCTACTAAACTCATTGTTGAGGCTTCCTCATCAAGTCAAAATAAAACGCTACTAAAAAAAGTATGTAAGAAAATACTTATTTATCTCCGTCTTCACACCAATCGCCTGTCCCTTAATTTCTCTCGTGTTCAGTCAGAGTTTTGAACACAATGTGACTTCTAGTTCATAACAGGTGTCTCTCATCGAAGCATTTTGAAAAGAATTCTGAAGAAACGTGAAAAAAGGTAGAGCGAGAAAAAGGCGATTAGAAGTGAAAGTTTTAAGTAGTGGGATAACACATTAACAACGTATACTGTTATGAATGGTAAGCATTCGAGGTGTTCATTAACATCGCAAACATTGTTCCTTGTCATTGGAAGCGATGTGATAAACGAATTCCAATACAGGAACGGATCTCTACTGTTTACACTTTGCTCTATTTATTTATTTATTCATCTATTTATTTACTTATTTGTTTATGCAGCCCGTCTTTCACATCTACTGCACGGATCCCAACACTTCCTGCATTCGATTCGTTTTCTCACATCCAGATCTTCCAACTTTTTGCGTGTAAGGTCGGTCCCTGCTTGAGGATTTTCCTTTCGTCATGAATGTCATTGAAAACGGGTCGAGTAGATTCTCTCTGTAGTCCTGAGCTAGCAGGGTTAGAGCAGAGCTCTTCCACATAGCTTGCTGAGAGTGAACTTTCCTTAGAGAAGAATGGTGTCAATTCCCTGAAGCAAGACGAATGAGAGTATTGTTGAATCTGGTGCGCGGTCGAATTAGCACCGTGGTAGTAATAGTAATGAATAGTATCACTACCACTGGCTACTTGTCCCTCAACCAGCGTCGTCACTATTTGTAAGTGTTTTCCGCCGTGAACTCATAAATGGTTGGCCCATCATTACAATCGTGGACATAAAAGAAATAAAGCGCTCTTGGTGAACCCCTTGAGGAAACACCGCTCATTCGACTCCATTCTCAGCACCGTAGAGGTGACTGGATGTATATTAAATTATTAAATGTCATTGGCTTATTAAATGGCTTATTAAATGACTTGTCGGAGTTCACTAATGTAGCAAGTCGATGCAGCAACCCTACCAGACAATTCTAACGATATCAACTCGCTACACACCGAGAGGGATGGACGATCTAGTCATCTTTGGAAGCGCGGTTGAACAAACAACGGAGTGTATTGTGAATCACCCATAACCACTACACTATAGGCGTACTATCGTAGAAATAATGTAAAGAAACAGCTGAATAAATACCCGTAGGGAGTCTGCGGAGTGTTGGGACGAGCTAACGCGCAGGTCGCCGTCGACGTCGAAGGCTGCTGCTGGTCGTACGGCGACGGAACGACATAAGCAGAGCTCAGCGGATCCATGCGAGCATTCACTGAAACGATCGTCTACAAATCGTTCACGAGCACGGATTGTTCTGTTCGTAAAGCATGAAACTACGATTATTGTGAATTAACAATGGACGATGGAGCATGATGTTACGACTTTTCTTTCGTCAAATTACGGGGAAAACATTTGAACGGCCATCTTCTTGATCACAAATAAAATATGACAACAATGAATTGGAGCTCACTTCAAGCACTCATGAAAGGAAATGAAGGATTGATGTAGGAATAATACTGGATATACTGGTACAATGGAAACAATGAGAGAGAAAACGGATCTAACGATTTGAGACATGGGAAACGAAATATGAAATGTATGAAGAACATGAAAGCCGTCAGAAAGAGTCCCCTTTTAAATTTAATTTCCTAGTAGAAAAAAAAACAGGATAAAAGAAAAGCAGGAAAATAAAGAATGACAAACAAAATAAAGAATGACAAACAGTTTAAAATCTGATGTGATAAGGAAAAACGAAAAAACTTTGCGACTATACACTATGGATAGAAGCGCAATGAGATTCTACGCCGGAGAAAAAATAGAGAAAATAGAAGATCAACGAAGAGAAGGGATGTACTTCATACTTACCGTAATCTGCAGATAAATGGGTCTTCCTTCCACTTTCTTCCGCATATTTTTCAAACATTCTTACGGAACATTAATAAAGAACATTACATTTGGATAATTGGGCCGTCTTCACTAGTTGTGCAACCCCCAGCATAATTTCCTTTTCTTTTCGGAGTTTTGCTGGCCTAGGCACTGTGGTTTCCTGGAGTCCCGAGGTCACCCTGGCCAAAGTCTACCCCAGGTCTTCACCACCACAGGCAGTCGCCGGCCTTTGTGGATCAGAGGAAGATTTGCCACCATCCTACTAGTTTCATAGCAAGGCGGTGGTAGATCCTGGTACTGGAAAAACTCCGAAAAAACGAAACATTACATGATCCTTTTATCATGATGATATCCTCTTATCGAAATTTTAGCATAAGATTTAGTAGTACAATAAACTAGTAAAATAAAAAGGCAGCACTGTGAAGAGAAATTTTGAACCAAAAGAAATGAAATCAAATCTTCGTGTATTCCGAAATCAGACCAAAATGAGTCAGTAATTGACTGAGATCCACAGACGTCAGTAATTTCGAACACCTGCCGGCCAGAGAATTCGATCCTCCCTCCAGAAAAACGTGTAGAGTTAATAAAAAAAAGAAGCTAGAAAAAGGCTACAGGCTATCACCGCTCAACGAACAACGCATTGAAATCAATACACATCCTCGAGAACTTTCCAGACGTTTTCTCTTCAATCTTTGTCCCTGTTAATTTCTAGCTCACAAGCAAAATGAACAAAAAATCTAGTCTTCACGATATTACTGGGTAATATGAGTTCAAGATCGCAATGTAAGGAAAGCTGCTCATAATTGCTACGAAGCCATTGACCGAGAAACGAAGCCTAGAAATCGCCACCGTCACACTTTCAACGAAAACCGCAGAAGTAGTGGGTAAACCTACTGAATCAAATATGATTCACACGGTGCAAAAACAGTAGGGTTTTCCGCCTAAACACAACGCATTGATTTGAATGCGTGCGGCAGGAATACACAGTTGTTAGGTTAAACCTGATTTATGTTATCTCATAATCATAGTTAAAATAAAAAATGGAATCTATAGATTTCTGATTACGGCGAAATTCTGGTTTCTGGAGTCACGAAATCATTTTTTTAGAACATTTACATCGATTCCTCTATTTCGAGCATGAGAATACATAAAGTTCGATATTTTAAAAAAAAAACTCGTTTTGAACCTACTAAACATCTTCACTTTACGAAAATCTAAAATTGAGAATACATTCGGTGACAATGGTAATTCATGATTAGGGAGATAGAGTAAAACTTCTACAGGGTTGTAAAGCCCTAAGCTCCTCACTACGTTGGTGACCAAGAAATTATCATCAGTTTTCCAGAAACTGGCACTGTCGAAAAGTTGTCAGTGACATTCAATTATTAGTTAGAGAAAAAGTGAAAGTAATGGCACATGTCACTAGCTATTTTTCAGAAGTGAACAACGAGAAGCAGCAATTCATCGCCTTCGCCTAGCTGTCGTGCTCGATTTAAATTGGAAAACACTTACATTCTTATGGAAACCCTCCAAAAACGCCACGAGAGGTCGTAAAGACGATCGTTACATGAAATTGGAGAGCCCGATATGGTAACTCTATAGCAGATGTTTTTCGAAAGATAACTATTCTAAGTGAATGAAAAATGAGGGAAAAAAGTAGCCCGTGCAAACATTTTGGGACAGCTTTAGTCGATTGAAAGTGTTCTCAAAAAACATCATCAAGTGTCATCAACTGTATAGAATCTTCCGTCGATGAAGGGTAACGGTAAAAAATTTGCTATAATTAACCTATCACTAGAATGAACTACATGAATTGCTTACGAAGTAACTAAGGCAGTGAATGAGGGAAATAGGTTGAGATTGTACTCGCTGGAAAAAAAGATGGATAAGTTAGTCATTAATAATTCGTAGAAGAACAACTCTATAAAGATGAAGACTGTTCGGGCCAAGTGGGGGAGTGGAACCAAAAACTTTGCGTGTGTGAGTTTGGTCTCTTCGCATTGAGCTATGAAGTTTGCGATATCTCTCAAGGGATGAAGTGACGCTTTTCTCCTGCAATAATCCAATGAAATGTTTACTACATTTCATTTAGAATTGTTCTTACTTCATACTTAACATTAGTACACCAATCGCAACTGTTGATAACTAGGCCCAGAAAAATTCAAGGAAAAATGCGTTTTATCCTCATAAACTGGACCGTAATATTGAAAGGAACCTGAAGTTTGCCTTCTATCAACAAACACTATGACGCTGAGGTATTTGCAAAACTTAGACGGCAGGCGAGATTGAACCGAACTCCGATTCCCCTTTTCGGGTGCTCAGCATCATAGTGGTTGCATTTCACATCATACCCTGATGTGAAAAATAATAATAGGTAGTAAATAAAAAAGTTAACATTAACAAATGTCTCGAATGAAATTTGCTCATCTACTCAAAAAATAACTGTACTTCTAGTAGACCTTAGATTTGCAATCTAACTATGGCTATTTGCTTGTTATCGGATTAGGTCAACCGGAAGGAGCGCATTAATCGAACGCCGACCAGCTGAAACTCGAGGCATGTGGGACATCCACTGATGATCATCGAGGTCCTAAGGGTCACAGGTCACCAACAATCGGCAAACTCTTGAGCCAAAACAAATAAAATTTTTGTCGAGTCAGACGATTAGCAAGCGGATAACTATGAAATGGAATGGTTAGACACGATTTACTTATGTAAATTACCTGGCACCAAATATTATGCGGATCTGAGCAATACTCCCATTCAGTTCATTATTTCCGTTCCTTCATCGACGAACACCTAAGAATGTGCGTATGGATTCGGCTACCACTTGAGGACTTTCAATGTGATGACACTTGAATTATAAAATTGAGGACATGAATTGAACAATTGAATGCTGGTCGAGTTGATTCTTCGTGGAATCCTAATGCAGCTCACTAGAGCGTTCCCAGGCCTACACCACAGAGATAATCGCCG